GTATATATAATTATATATGTATATATATACATATATATGTATATATCTATTGTGTTCATATATTATATATATATATATATATCTACTTATATATTATATTTTATTATAAAGATATTTGTATGATTATATGTTCATGTTCTATATATTTATATATAAATATTTATATATATGTGTGTGTGTGTGCGTGTGTGTGTGTGTATGTGGTTGTTCATTTATATATGTATACATTTATACTTATATGTGTAGATGTCTATGTTTTTGTATTTGTATATGTATATATATATATAATTGTATCATACCAAACACGGAAATCGAATTCATTTATAAACATATATTGTTGTAGAATTCGTTACTATCACTCGACATCCATCCTCTAAGCTCTAGTTGTATCTTTACGCAATGTGGTGATTTGTTGTACTGTTCTTGACATGACACACAATAATCGGTCGGCTTGTGTTCTCTCCTCTACAGTTATACAGGCAGATATACACTACCGGTGGAACCGCAGCAATGCCAGACTCACGACTTGTGGTATGTGCAATTTTTGTTAACTTTTTTGATTTGAATATGCTGCATCGGTAAATAACGTAAGCGAAGGAATGCTCTTGTTCGTAGTTTCTTCTGATGTTAAATATCTCTGTGCGATTGAAATCCGAGTGTTCTTCTTTTTTCGGTTCTTGCCGAGCCTCTGCCTCGCGAGTTTATATGGTAGTCTTGTAATTGTATCATTTATCAACCTACTTGTTCAGCTTATTTGTGCCTGTATTCCTTAATGGTGCAGACTCTTTCCTATCATTTCGCATACATTCTGTCATCAATATACATATTCATGTTTTTGTGATCGACATTCTTATTGCACCTTCTCAGGCCTACGCGAAGATCATAGGCACGGACTTTGAGTTCTTCATGCAGACGCTTAGTATAATTATTGGTCGGACCGCAGCGGTGTCCCTCACCACAGAACCGTCGCACTTAGACGTTGACTTGACTGGCTACGATGGTATCGACACACGCCACTGCACGATTATGTACAACTTTGATCGCGAGATGTTTGAGCTTAAGGTGCTCTCTGAGACACACCCGGTGCAAGTCAATGATCTTCTGCTAAAGAAATCGTCTAGGCCGCACATGCTGCGTTCGAAGGACCTGGTTATAGTGGGAGATGCACATTTCTATTTCCTCCTCCCACAGGGTGAAGTAACTCACGAGAGGAGTCCACACGATTTGTCGAAGTCAAACTCCATGCCCAGAAACCCTCCTCTATTGAAGTCGAAAGATATGTTCGTGCCGTCGGGATCGCCTCATCCCCGCGGTTTGGTACCGCAGCAAGACTACCACCGGATGGGCCAACCGCCTGTGGGCTACGCCCAACAATCCCAACAGCCCCCACAACACCCCAGACACCCACCGTTGCATGCTATACACAGTCAACCGCCCCACGGGTCGTATGGCAATGCAGATCTGCAACCAGCACCACCCACACACAGGGGGGATGGAGAGAATGATGGAGAGGGGTCGGCTTATTCGACACATCAGCAGGTACAGCGCCAGGGCAGTGCATACAGTAACGACGAGCAGCAATCGCCATACCCGTCATACAGAACCGGACCAGAGTCACGGCCACCGTACTCGCATCCCAGCCAACTGCACGCTCACTATGGGCCATCGTCTCAGGGAGGATATCAGGCTTATCCAAGTCAGAGACAACCACAGGGCGGGTCACAGTCACAGACTGGCTCGTACAATGGGTCGCCGCTGTTGCGACAGAGCCAGTATCCGCCTACGTCGCCACAGAGCAGACCGGTAGCTACGATGTACTCTGGGATCAAGCCGCACCCGCAGCAGCAGCAGAGACCCAAGCAGTATGCGCAGAAGAAGAAGCGCAAGGCGACTGGCAAGAACGCTGAGGCAACGCCCAGGAAGAAGAAGAAGGAGAAGATGAACAAAAGCAAGGGGCAAAAGGATGATTGTGAGAGAGAGCCATTGTATGGGGAAGAGAGGGAGATTGCGGAGACTGTGGGATGGAGTGCTACGAATAGTGCGGACCAGTCGTACGCGTCGAGTGCGGAGGAAGATATTGATTCTACCACAGAGGATGAGGGACATGTAGAGGCGCCCGTGAAGCAGATGAAAACCAAGCCCCAGGTGCAGATCCTACCTAAAAAATCGACAAAGAAGGCAGGGAAGGGTACAAGTGGAGATAAAGCTGACAGTGAACAACAACGCATCAAGAGCCGTGCTGGTGCTACGGTGACAGAGAAAAGTGAGTCTAAAGGGGGCGCTAAGAAAAGCTCAGAAACAAAGAGGAAAACGAAGAGTAAGAATGTCAGCACGGATAAAAAGAGAGCATCAGAAAGTGTCAAGCAACCAGGAACAGATTCCCACAAGAGTCCGAACCTAAGTCCCCAAACTGGGACACCCACACCGACTGAAGCGAAAGCCAGTGAGCCGGTGTACTATGACGGGGATGCGACGCCAGATAACACTATTGTGCAGGTTGCAGTTGCGATTAAGAAATCAGTGGACAATGGCGCTGGAAGTGAATGTCACGCTGCAGAGACAGGCCAAGAAGCTGAAACAAAGGCCGCCCGGATGGCGACGGTATGTTCTGATTCGACTGACAGATAGTGATTGGCATTTGCTTGTAGTGTGGCATGTTTGAGGGAGGCTATAGGCGGTTTATGATGGTGCCGAATTTATATTAGTAGTAGGTATTCTCAGTCATGTCCACTTCTATCATCACGACAAAATGCTGCTGTTGCTTCGTTTGCTACGCGCGACCGCTTATATATGAATGGTGATGACCTAAACATATATTCTACTACTATAACTTTGAGTATATTTCGCGCAGCTATATCGTTGAAGAAAGCTTCGAGCAGGAAATGTGTGCATCTTCCATTCAAAAATACGCAAGCAATGATAAAATAATATTTATTGATTTTTTTATATCTTCTTCGACACCGTGTCGTGCAGCAGGATAACCAGAACGCCGATACAAGCTAGACGGCACCTCAAGTCCTCAACAATACTTTAGAAGATACTCGTCAGAATCTACTCATCAGAACGCTACTACAGCCGATTACTGCTAATTACTGTTGCAAACTTGCAACTACTCCCGGTAGGTGATTCTCTCTTAAAGAGCATCATTCAATTTAGAATAAAATAGGATACACCACACGGACACTGCCATTGCCTTCTCAATGAAATGGCACGGGTGACCTTATCTAGAAAGGAACTCAATTGCAAGTCGATACTATCTGGAAAATACACGCAGATTTGTATTTATTTACTTGTTGTGGATTGTGTAAAATTGTGTATTTCTTAAAGTTGCATATTAAAAGAATTGAAGGAAGCAATGGAAATCGACTTTATTATTTTAATAGATTTGGAAGTTTGAAGGACCAACGTGCTCATCTATTCTCCTATTCGTGCTAGCAACGATTTAGAATATATAACAAATGCTTTTCGTACTAAATGATAACCAATGAAATCACGCATTCTTCTGGCATGTGGTTCGATTTTTCTAAATAGATTTTCCGGGGGCTGAAAGGTGTGGATTGTGATTTGTGGTGGCCTGAAGGGACATAGCATTGTCAATTTGCCACAGATCATGATGTTGGCAACCTGACCATGTCAATCAGTTTAGAATGGGTGCCTGCCAAATCTCAATCCGTTTTTTATGTTAAAGGGGTCCAATAAAAAAAAGAGAGTTGAACGTAAACGCTTATTTATTCGCTTTAAGTATTAACGTTTATTTCTATATATCGGTCTAAAGACAGGATAGGCGTCTGTCTGGGGCTGACTACTCAGTGTTCAGTGCTGTCCGGTTGTCCATAGTCCTGCTCTGTAACTAGAGTGACCACTCCCATAGTCCCAAAATCCCAAAGTCACTCGAAAATGCGCTATGCGACAGTGCAAGTGGCGACATTTTCATGTGTGTCGCCTCGTCAGTCGTTACTGTTTGAGCCTCAGTTTTGCCTCGGTTTTCCGGGGAAAATCATAACGTCAAAAAGACATTTTTGTGTTTGATGTTACTATGTTGGCTAAAAGTGTTACACACAAAGTGAGAAGCGTACAGAAGTCCTACAGGGGTGTTGCGTGAATTACTACTATTTTCATAGTCATGATGGAAAACATACAATTCGGGGTAAGTCCACCTATCTTGTGTCTTTCAGAGTTTCGGAGATCTTACGACTCTATAGTGCATTATTCGGCTTGCTAACTATCAGCTGCACTCTCTTGACGGGAAAACAGGTATCACACAATTCCGGTTCATAGTGTTTATCATTCATACGCCATCAATTGAACAGAAAATCGGCAATATAATGGTGGTATAAATATGAGACATCAAACAAATCGGAAGGGCACGTAACAACAAGACTAAGAGAAAGCACTCGAGATGCAGCCACTTATTTTAGTTCTACACACGCATATATATATATATGTGCGCGCGAGCGTGTGTGTATGTGTGTGTGTGTGTTTGTGCATGTGTGTGTGTGTTTGTGTGTGTGTTTGTGTATTTGTATATGTAGAGATATAAGTATGGGTATAGATATACATATATAGGTATAGATTTATATATATATTCATA